CTCAGGAATCCTCCAAACTCACTTTTGGTGAGCCCACCACTGTCCTGTCCCCCCACTGGCTGACTGACCTCGTCTCACTGCTGCCTTTCCAACCTGTCTCCCTCAAGACTACAACTCTTCCACTTCACTTTTATAGAAAACCCCAATGTTACTTTACAAGCCTGCCCTCCCCTTAATCCTACCACCCTACTTCCTGATGTCACACCCCTGGAACACCCTTGCCTGGAATCCTTAGAAACTCTAACTTACTGTCAACTCCACCTGTGAAGCTCACCTCTGCCCAACCCAGATATTTCTTGGTTTATAGATGGCAGTTCCTCACTGGATACCAGAGGCAGGAGACGAGCAGGCTATGACATAGTGTCCCTCAGTTATTGAATCCAGTCCTCTTCCATGGGGTACCACCTCTCAAAAGGCAGAACTGATCGCTCTAACCAGACCCCTTAACTTAGCTGAGGGAAAGACAGCCAACATCTTTACTGACTCTAAATATGTTCACCACATTACACACCATCATGCTGCTCTCTGGGAGGAAAGGGGCTTTCTCACCACAAAGGGCACACCCATCACCAATGGGTCTCTAATTCTTAAACTGCTAAAAGCCTCTTACCTTCCCACAAAAGTAGCAGTAACCCATTGCAAGGGACACCAACCAGAAACTACAGAAACTTTCCAGGGCAATGTCTTTGCTGACAGAGAGGCAAAAAGGGCTAATGCACAGACTTCCCCCATGGCACTTTTTACAACTTCTGTTAAACCAGGGGATCTTGTTCTCCTCAAGGATCTTTGACCCTCTCTGCTGGGACCTCAGTGGACTGGCCCTCATCTGGTTGTCCTCACAATGCCCACCACTGTCAAGCTCAACAGGATCCCCCAGTGGCAGCACCTTTCAAGGATAAAACACTGCCCACCAACCTCAGACTCTTCCATAACAGCAAAGGATGAATACTCTTGCATACCACTGGGCCCCACATGGCTACACCACTCCTGAAAACTCTCTCCCTCTTCCTCTCCTACATAAGCTCTCAATCCTCATCTGGTTCTCAATTTTCTACTATAGGTGATCTTACCAACAACTGGCCTTGTCTACAAATGAAGCCTGGGAAAAACCATCAGCCTCCACTCCTGGCAACCTTACAAAGTTCCAAATTCCAGCTGAACCCCCTTTAACAACGCCTCCACTCAGCACGAAGCAGTTAGATTGACTGGCACCCATAATACCAACAAAAAGCTGGAATGTTAGGTCCCTGGCATTCTTGGGGCGGGCAGAAGGTCCTGAGGCTAGCACCAAAATCAAACCCCCTGATTTATGACCACTTGTTTCTCCCTGCCTGTTTCTCGGCTTGCAAAACAACTCAGGAACTTCCAGTTACTCAACTAGCCAGGCATGTGGACCTGTTCCATCTGGTGATCGCAGATAATCAGAGACCAGGGACTCTCTCGCTCCCCCATGGCTTGGCCCCTCCTATAAAGCCCACTACCCAATTCAGCCAAGCCACTTCACTCTGAACCCAAGAGTGACAGCCCTGCAGTATGGATTCCCAATAAATTTTCTTTTCCTCACGTGGTGTGGTCTTTATTCAGCAGTACCTTACAGTTACTTTGATAATTAAAAGCACCTGTTAGGAAATCTTTTAACTGTTATCTATGGGAGACTGAGTATCTTTTTTTTTTTTTTGGAGTCAGGGTTTTGCTGTGCTGTGTTGCCGAGGCTGGCCTCAACTCCTGGGTGGTACTGGGTTTTGAACTCAGGGCTGTACTCTTTCCAGGCAGGGACTCTACTGCTTCAGTCATGCCTCCAAGCCCTTTTGCTCTAGTTATTTTCTATGGGGTCTTGCATTTTTTCCTGGGCCAGCCTGGACCACAATCCTCTTATTTATATTTCTTTTCAAAGCTGGGATAACAGGCAAGCTCAGCATTTTTCTGTTGAGATTGGGTCTCACAAACTTTTTGACCAGGCTGGCCTTCAACTATTATCCTCCTGATCTCAGCCCCTCAAGTTAGCTAGGATTACAAGAGTGAGCCACAGGTGCCTGATTTTATTTTCCTAAAGGTAACTATGAATTAACCTGGGAAATGGAATGAAGAAAGGAGTCCTGCCTAATCTTTGGCTATAACTTTCCTTTAAAGCAATTTCCCATCCTATGCTTGCAAACTAAGCAAGGTTGTTTATCAAAATTTTTAAATGTTGTTTTATATGAAAATTGAAGGCAGTAGACTACTATAGGGCTATTCTATCTGTCCAGAAAATATTTACAGTAATAACTGGGTAAGATAGGTCTGTAATACATTATACATTTATTTGTACATAGCACTATATTTGTAGAAAATTTGCCACATATTGAACCATGTTATTTTATCTTGGCTCTTTAATGAGTTTTTGTTTTCCCAAGAACGGATGAGAATGAGAAAGTGACAAAATACTATAGTTAAAAATACTGTTACCTAACTGTGAGGTGGTCATTATGGAAGTTCTATTTTCAAGAAAATGTAGCAGCAAAGCCCCAAACTCAAATTTCTGTATTTAGTTACTCTGAGTGATGCCAGCAGCTAATACACATCTTGATACAAGACTTTTTTTAGAACAAAACACTATTTAAGAGTTTAACTTAAATAAATCTTCATGAAATACCACCTCTTTCATCAGACATCAAACCAATTTTGATATCTAATTTTATTACTGTCTCTCTGCAAAGAATTATCATAATACATTATAAAAGTCAACATATAACAACATATAAAATTAGGATTGCTTTAAATTACTTCAGGGAGAGCTGATACATTTATAACATTATAAGGTTAAGGTGTTTCTGAGCAAGAGAAATCCTATTCCATTTTCTCAAGTCTTTATCTGGGTTCTTCAGAGAATTCTAGTATTCTTCATATTGGCTTTACATATTTCTTGTTTATTCCTAAGTACTTTATCTTTTATCCTATCTATTTTTTAATTATTAATTTTTTGGTAGTACTGGGGTTTGAACTCAGGCAAGTACTCTACCACTTGAGCCACACCCCAGCCCTTCTGGCTTTAGTTATTTTTTAGATAGAGTCTCATGTTTTTGTTTGGGCCAGCCTGGATCATGATCCTCCTAGCCTCATGCCCAATAGAATTACAGGTGAGCACCACCACACCCTGCTTGTTGGTTAAGATGAGGATCTCACTAACTTTTGCCCAGGCTAACCTCAAATCATGATCCTCCCAATCTCCCCCTCCTGAGTAGCTGGGATTACATGCATGAGTTACTTCACCTAGTTTATTCAATCTTTAAATAGCTCACTTTGATCTTGTGACCTCTCTAGCAATTGGTGATTCTGATGTTTATATAAAAAATGAGTAAGAACAGTCAGAAATACTGTGAAAGAAGATCTATGATGGACAGTTAACCCAAACAGATGTTTACAGATAAGCTTACAAACAAAACAGTGTGATACCAGAATATGTTTAATGAGATTGACCAATCAAACAGAAAGTGAAGAAAAAGACTCAAAAATATGAGAATAATCATATAATAAAGATAGCACTTCAAGCCAATAGGTAAGTGAAAGGTTATTTTGTAAAAGGTACATTTGGAAAAAATAAAGTTGCAATCATAATTGTCACCATGTGTCAGAATAAATTCTAAGTAGAGCAAACATTAAGACATAAAGATATGAAGACTAAAATGGGACAGGTTTAATTAACCTTAAATTATGGAAGTTTTTTTAATTATGCTTGGTAAGAAGGACCAAAAGAAAAGAAATGATAAATCTGACAAACAAAGAATTAAAAGCAAAGTTGGAAAGCCAACAAAAGTAGACTTATATCAGAAATTACAGGCTTGGCCAGGCGCTGGTGGCTCATGCCTGTAATCCTAGCTACTCAGGAGGCAGAGATCAGGAGGATCATGATTTGAAGCCAACTTGGGCAAATAGTTTGCGAGACCCTATCTCAAAAATGCCTAACACAAAGCAAGGGCTGGTAGACTGGCTCAAGGTGTAGGCACTGAGTTCAAGCTCCTGTTCCATAAAGAAAAAACAAAGAAAGAAATTACAGGCTAATTTTCATAGTACATGAAAAAGCTTCCAGAAATCAATTAAGAAAAAGACTAACAATCCAATAGAAAAATGTGCAAAGTCTATAAATCAACAGTTTACAGAAAAAATATATAAAAGGCCATTTTACAAATAAAAGCATGCTCAATCGTAAACGAGATAAACCCTAGATGATATTGTTTAGCTAGCAGATTGAAATGATTATAAGAACAAGTCTATTAAGAAACTCTAGTGAATAGACAGGAGAAATTTTATATTTTTGATTACTGAATCAGGTGAATGTGTTAACTATTCATATGAATATGCTACCTACTCACATAAAATGTTATTCCATGAAAATGTGTTATTTATAAAAAATTAATGAAATAATCACTTATATTTTAAGATAGAAAACTATTTTGCTTGACAACAACAAAAAGTAACATAAATATAAGTAACTTGAAACCAAATACATCTGTAAATATGTAGTAAAGTCCAGGTAGATACATTCCTTTCAAACTTCAAACTTGCTCTTTCGTTAAAGTATACCTAAACAAGACCTTCTTGAAGTCATCAGAAATATTGAAAGAACCAAAGAAATGGAGTAACTTTCTCACCATTAGATTTAATGCTCTTGTGTGAACGACAGGTTCACCTAAAATACTCTGACATAATCTCAGCAGCAAACACATACTTTCTAGATTTTAGATGCAAGAACACTGCTAAGGAACAATGGACGGGATTGGTAAAGGACTGGAGGAAGGAATGCAGGCTCACAGGAATAACTGAAGTTTAAGTTTAGGTGCTTCTGTGAATTGTAGAAGCATTATAAAAATGAGCAAATCAAAGAAAATGCAATATATGCAGGAGAAGAGAATGAATTCTTCCAGGAAAAATACTAATGTGGGACAAACAGAACTACAATTAGGGGAGAAAAGGGACAGAGAAGTGCTTAGAAAAATACAAATGCATTAACACGTAAAACCTACCAGCCATTTTGCATATTCATTGATGGCTTGCTTATCTTTATCTTTCTTCTCAGCTTTTTTCAGTTCTTCCTTTCTCTTCTCATTTATTTTCTCTTTTTCCTTTTGCTTAAAAAAAGCTTCCTTTTTTTCATTCCTAGGTAGGATAGTATAAAACACTGGAGAGTTACAGAAGAGTATATAATAAAGGTTCCCTAATACAGTTTTCCCAATAAAGAGATGAGGCATTAGTAAGTTTCAACTAAATAAATTTTAGAAAAGCCAAATGTGTTAAGTTCAAATCTATCAAGATATTATTTTGTATTACCATTTTTGGATAGCACTTAAGTTCTCTTTCTTTTTCTCAGCAACAGTTTCTTCTTCTCTCTGTTTCTTTGCTCTTTCATATTCTTTCTCCTTTTTATTTTTTTCTTTAAGATATTCCATCTTTTTCTCTTTCCATTTTTCAAAAGCCTGAAAAAGTTCAGAATGATTTCATAGTTATTATAAAAGTGCCATTAATCATTAATTCTGCTTTTCGATATTTAAAAATAACTAAGAAAGGAATTCAACTGGAGGTGTGGCACAAGTGGTTGAGTGCCTGCTTTGCAAGCATGAAACCCTGAGTTTAAACCCCAGTCCCACCACAAAAAAAAGAAATTCAAAGTTCCAGAATACTTGTAGTGCTTCTCCTTTTCTCACAGCATTTTCTTCTTCAGTTTTCTTCTTGCTTTTTTCCTCAAGTCTCTTTTTTGCAGCTATTTTCTTTGCTTCCTTTTCTTTCATTGCTTTCCAGGCCTCAAATGATGCTAATGCTTCTTCTCTCTTAGCAGCTCTTTTCTATTTCAGAAATGCAACAGACAGATGTAAACAGATGAATGAAGACAGACATATACAAATGTGTATTTATCTTTAATCCCTAGATAGTCATCATTTACAGAAATTAAATTTAGGAGGGTGGCTCAAGTGTCTGCCTTTCAAACTGAATTCAAACCGAAGTCCCGCAAAAAAAAAAAGGGAAATTAAGTTTCAAATCTAATAATCCTCCCTTATTTCTTCTATGACCCACTGATCTTTGAACAGTGTGTTGTTCAGCATCCAATTATCTTAGTATTTTCTGCTGCTGCTTTCATTGCTGAGTTCTAGTTTTACTGCCTTATGAGCAGAGAGTATGCAGGGGTTATTTCAATTTTCTTATATTTGATGAGACTTGCTTGTACCCTAGATATGGTCTATTTTGGAGAAAGTTCCATGGGCTGCTGAGAAGAATGTATATTGTGCAACTGCAGTGTAGAATAAATACTCTGTAGACATCTGTCAGTTCCATTATATCTATGGTGTCATTTAGTTCTAGGATTTCTTTGTTGATTTTTTTGTTTGAATGACCTATCTATTGGTGATAGAGGGATAATAAAGTCTCCTTCTACCATTGTGTTGGGGATCTATATATGGTTTTAAGTCCTTTAGTGTATGTTTAATGAAGTTGGGTACACTGACATTGGGTACATATAAGTTGGTAATTGTTATTTCCTCTTGATATATTGCTCCTTTTATTAGTTATGAAGTGACCTTCTTTATCTCTTTTGAGTAATTTAAGTTTGAAGCCCACTTTATCTGATATAAGTATTGCTACTCCTGCCTGTTTTCAGGGGCCATCAGCTTGGTAAATCTTCCAGCCTTTCACCCTAAGCCAGCATTTGTTTCTGTTAATAAGGTAGGTCTCTTGTAAATAACAGATTGTTTGGTCCTCCTTTCTAATCCAGTTTGCCAAAGGTTGTCTTTTGATGGAGGAGTTGAGTCCATTGACATTCAGTGATAGTTAGGGGTGGGGGAGGGTGAGAATGGTTGGCACCACTGGAAGTAGGGATGTAGCGGGAAAAGGGGTAGGAGGATGAATATGGTGCAAACAATGTATACACCTGTATGTAAATGAAAAAATGATACCTGTTCAAAGTGCTCCAGGAATCAGGGGAGAGGGAATGGGGGAGAGGAATGGAGGGGGTAATTCAAGTATGATATGTTTGATACATTGTAAGAACCTTTGCAAATGCTACAATGTGTGCCCAGCACAATAGAAAAAAATAAATAAAATTTTTTAAAAAACAGATGATTTAGAAAAGCTAAATGTTCAGAGATACTTTAATGACATAAAAATCTAGAACATTTACTTTTTTATTTCACAATACCTGTTCATTTTGGATTCTTAAGTTTTCACTTTCAATCCTTTTTATTCTGTGAATTTCATGTAAATACATATTTTTCTTTTCTAACCACTCCTGTGAAAATAAGAAAAGGTTATATAAAGGTCGCCAAATGAATTAGAATTCTTATTTATTCCTGAAACATTTGATTAAAATATTAAAAAAGGACAAAAATATATAAATTTTACTCAAATTCCTATTATTTTGTTTCTAATAATATTCTGATACATAAAAATGAGTATTTAAGAAAATTATATGTATATTATCTTTGTTAGTATTAACAATATATACTTTGAAGATTTAATTTAATGCTTAACATAATTAACATTTTTCACTGAAATTCCATGTGTAATTTTCTAATGTGTATTATTCTGTATAACAAACAAAACAATAAAAAGATCATTTTTGAAATATAGTGAAAAAATTATCTTAAAAAACTCTTTCTGTTCATGAATAATCCAAACTTAAAGGAGAAGTAGCATAAAACATATAGATTTTTACAACAGTTTGGTTCTTGCTCTATTTCTATAAATGGCATCTTTGCTTTCCTTAAAAAACAACTATGATCAGTTAAACAAAGTGTGGAGGAAAATAATTTAGTAAAATAGCTTTGGATTGCTCATGTAACAGTAAGGAAAGTATTTCTTGATAAAGTAAGAATTAGGAGAAAATAGAAGAGATGAACCAACTTGGGTTATAGTATGTACATACATGGAAATGTCACAATGAACCACCCTGTATAGCTATCTTAAACAAACAAAAATGTCATTTTTTTTTTCTTTTTCAAAAACAGAACAGGAAGGCAAAACAGGTCATGCCTGTTGGTACCAGTGGGAGCAGGGAGGATGTAAGGGAAGGGTATATAGGAGGGTAAATATGGTGGAAATATTATGTACACATGTATGTAAATGGATAAATGAGACCTGATGAAACTATTGTAGGAATTGGGTGGGGGAAGAGGGAGAAAAGGTGAATCGATGGAAGAATTGATGGAGAGGGTGAATTTAACTATGATATATTGTAAGAACTTTTATAAAAGTCACCATGTACCCTCAGTAAAACAATAATAAATAAAAATGAAAAAAGTAAGCATTAAACCATCATTTCTGACAGTCACTTTATTCTTTAATAAACAGGTAGCTTTATGTATATGATTAATTCCCTTTTACCTGGTAGACAGCTGCCCTTATGTGATCTGCCCTGTCAGGCTCTGAGCTCTGCTTCTGTGAAGGCTTCTGGTCCAACACTTTCAAAGTTCCTAAATAGTGAGAAGAGGTAGTTGTCGATGGAGTTCTCCTTACAGAACTGGGTTTCTTTAAAAACTCAGAGGTCATTAATCTGGAAAGTTTCAAATGGATCAAGATAGAGTATTAAAATTGCATTTATAGAGGAGAGAAGTTAGAATATGCAGCTACATTATAATTTCATTAATTAAATTATGATGACTGAAGCTATTGGTAAGATATAGCCTTTTCTTAGTATACAAAGCATACTAGTCAACATAATTAAAATTTTACAGCTTTAAGTTATATAGCAATTTAAAGCAATTTCTCTTTTTAGGTATTTATAATTAGAGCCTTTTTAAGAAACATGGATATCTCAAGTTACACAGAAATACATTAATCAAATGGGTTTTAATCACCCTTTTAATATGTTCTTGTATTATTTGTTGACATGAACCACTCTAAAAATGAAGTTAGAAAGAACAGAACCCAAAGGCCAGGCACAGTGGCATACACCTGTCATTTCACCTACATGGGAAGAATAAATAAGAAGATCGTGGTCCAGGACAGCCCAGGTATAAAGCAAGACCTTCTCTCAAAGACAGCCAGGGCAAAAAGGGCTGGGGTTGTGGCTCAAGTGGAAGAGCATCTGCCTAGCAAGCACAAGGCCCTAAGTTCAATCCCTGCTCCCTGTCCCAGTCAAGAAAAGAAAGAAGAAAAAAAAAGAACAAATAGTACCCTGTAAAGCCTAAAATAAGTACTGACTAGCCATTTACAGAAAAATTTGGCTGGCCCTCCAGGTTTGATTAACAATAATTTAAAAGATTTAGAAGATTTAGATTAGCACTTCAGAGTTAGCAACAGTTATCATCAGTAACAATATTGAAGCTATACTGATTCTTATTTTATTAAGCCCACCTAGTCCATTGAACTTGAAGACTTTTAAGTAAAAGTCTGTTATGTGTTAGACAAAGATATGTTAATGCTGGCCTTCAGGTTCATACCACCTTATATCTATTGTCTCAGCAAAAAGAGAAGGAGCTCTATCCCAGGATGTGGGCAGTGACACCAGGGAAGAAGGAAAACACCCTAAGGAAAGATCCTGGAGAACAAAGGTATCACATGGGCTTTCCAGGCACTAATTTCGGTAATAGACTTAAGTCATTTTATTCATTACTTGTTATAATAGAATGCAATCAACTGAGAAGTTTTATCATGAAGTATATCCATCCACTTCACAATATAAGAATTAAAGAAAAAATCCCAGTGACATTTACTTTATGGAACCTAAACTTAAATGAGTTTAGACGGTGATAACTTTATTACCTGCCGGATGCACTGGATACTCTATTACTTGTCAACTTTTTAGTCTTCATTTCTCTATCTTCATTTGTTTTCTATTAAACAGAAGAAATCATAGATGGATCATTCACCATGACTCTCACGATTAGACCAAGAGATTGAAATCAGTATTTCTTAAGCATCTTGTGTATTGGTCAAGCACAGCAGGCACTGGGGACAGATCAGTGAATTAAATGACCCCAAGGACACTAAATTTTTCAGAGGGGGTTATTGACAAAAATGGCATGAAATGTGACTTAGGAAGGACACAGAACTGGGAGAGTGACAGGGCTGAGGGGCTGCATTAGTGAAGCTCATCTGGGGAGGCCTTGCTGAGGGGATGGTACAAAGCTCAGAATGGTAAGTGGAAAGGCCTCCATGACAGTCCATGGAAAGAAAGAAACATAAGTACTTAGATACCAAGAGGCCAGTGGTATTGAAGCATAGTGAACTGGTCAGAGAAGAATCTTGCAAAATCATCAAGTGGTGCTAAGGAGTTTGGATTTTATTCTCATGATAAGAAATCAGTAGAGACTTTAAGAGGGGATGATTAGATTGAAATGTAAGAAGGTTTACTCAATAGAGTGTAAGAACAAAGCTAAAGGTCTAGTCAATGGAAATATGATCTTACTTGTTATGCGTAAATTGTTTAGAACTATCTCTACTAGACAGTTCTAAGATCCTGTGTACGCCTCAGGACACCCCTCCTCCTTGTAAGGAATAACTTTCTGTTTCACACAGATGGGTGGGTGAGTGCAAGCAGTACAGTGAGGGCACAGATGTGAACTTGGCTCTAATGTTTTCTAAGGAAAGGGGCAAACGATGATATAGCTGGTGCATGCCTTAATGAGTCTTATCTATACATTTTAGTAAAGAGATGTATATTGTTCTATTAAAGTCCTGTTCAAACACCAGTTTTCAGCTGGTTTCCTTCCTACTGAGGGTAAACATAGCTGATAGTTGTCTGCAGCTGCAAAAGATAAAGACTAAATTCAGGAGAAATAAAGACTAAAAATGCTATGTCATAAATATTGAAAGTATAGTACTCTAGTATAATTTAGTATAAAACAAGTAATCCCACATGCTATAAATCCATTTCTCAATATTGTAATAATAATGTTCCTGATGATGATCTTATATGGATATTGGTAAACATTTCTTAAAATTTTTCATTAAAATTGTTAAAGTGTTTTAAAATATTAAAATTTCACTTTGTCAGAACCTCAGAAATTGTTTCCTCAGTAGCATACTTATAAGTGTATATAGAAATATACACATAAATATACACTTAAGGTTATATATTTCTGAGGCATTAGGAGTCTATTATATTCAGATACATCTGATCATTTTTATTGAAACACAGATTTTTATTATGCTATCTGCAAAGCATCTTTAAAGTAAAATTATATTAAGTAACACTTGCTTGACAATATACCACTGTCAAAAGATGACTTTTCATAGTAATACAGAAGTTATAAGACAGAATATAAACTGTTTTAAAGTTCTATTTCAGGTTTTAAGCTGTAGTACAAAAGGTATAAACTCAAAGAAATACCTTTGCAGATTCCATTGCATCAGTGAGTATTAAGATACTCTGAGATTTTGATAGTAATGAATCATCATTTGACCTCTGTCTAGCCTTCTTTTCTTCTTCAAGGTCATTAGCAGCCACTTCACTTTCCTTGGGTTTTTCAAGTTCAGGAATAACACAGTCTGTTAAAACTGAACTCTCTTCATTTTCATTTGATTTCAAAGAACTACAATGCTCAATAAGGTCTTCATCCTGATCTGTTTTGAGACAGAGTAATAGCACTAAAACCTTCTTCTGAACTAATAAAATGGATAACATATTCATTTATTTTCCTTTGAATGAAGACTGTCTAAAGTTTCTTTTTTTCTTGCAAAATAAAATACAAAAACTATCATATTGAACTTGAGTAAACTTTTTTCAAAAGTGATCTACAAAAGCAAAAATGGCTATTCAATCTAGAAGCATGTCATAAACATAATACTTAGAAATTCTGATTAATAATCAGAATGGAATAGCCACACCAAAACAAAGACACATCAAAAGAACACGGCAATGTGCAAACCAAGCAACTGAGATGCAGAATCTCTACTTAAAGCAGACTGTGAGTGATGGCACCATGCCACTGCAGGTACAAGCAGTACAGATGAATGGTATAGATGCAGAGAGAACCAGGAACTAACATCACTTCACACAGAGAATAAAGCCAATTAGTTTTGTCCCCTCACAAGGCAACGCTGTCTCTTGCACAGGGTTATCTCTATTTTCTCAGTGCATGACAAGACAGGCTCAAGCTCTGGCCTGAGAAGACTGTTTTTGCTTTTATAGAATTGTTCTAGTATTCTGATTCTGCCACATTTTGGAACGTTCAACAGAAAGAAATCAGTGCTTTCTGTGATGTAGCCAACTTTTCATTTCTACCAGGATCCACCTCCTGGCAAACCTGTACCTTTACTGTCACTTGTCTTAATTGTGCTGTTTTCATCATGGTCATTTTTTTTCTTTTTGGAATTTGTTTGGAGATAAGTAAACTTATAACCACTTTATCATTACAATTGCATATTCACATTTCATGAGCACCCATGGCTCAAATGATTTCTCAGTTCTTTGGAGCTATGATTGAATCTACTTAGTGGAAAGAGCAAGGACTTCAGAGTCAAACCATGGCTCCTTTACTGGCTGCCCCAGGCATATTTCCTAATGCCTCTGCACTTCAGTTTTCTTATCTGTAAAATGACAAAAACTACACTATCCTATAAGTACTTAATAAATGTTAATTATACATCTCATTCCTAGAAATGCTTCTGCCTTGTAGCTCTCATTAAGCTACATGCTATAGCACTAGAAATACAGTAACAACTCACACCTCACATTTACTACGTGCTTACCATGGCACTATTCTAAGTGCTTTACATATATTCTTAATTCATTTAATTCTTATACTCACCTGATGAGGTACATTGCTCATATAGAATGCACTGTAAAGATCAGCATATAGGCTTTTTTTTTTTCTCTCATGTAGCTGTCCCTGAATTGAAAGTCCATCTAACTATCATGCTACGCTATACACAAGTGCAGTAAAACACACTATTATGTGTTCTAACCTTTGGTGACCACCCACTTGGACTGGGCACTGGGTTAGGGACTAAAATATATTCTGTTACTTAATTCTCACAATAATCTTTTGAGACAGATGGTATTATAATTTGGGGAAATTGAGACACTGAGAGATTAAATTCTGTATCTAAACTCACATAGTTGGCACCTGCATAGTTGGGATTAAAACTTAGGCAACCACAAACATATTTTCCCTATAACTCTGCAAAATATTATTTCTCTTAAAAACAGGGTTCTAAGCACTACAGAGTTCAAATATTATGCAATACATATACATAGCTACCTTTTATGGATGCTTCTTCCCCAGATCCTGGTGAAAAGGAATTTCTAAGACTTTCTTTAAGAGATGATAATGACAGACTTTTTAACAATGGATCCTGTTTAAAACAAAATGTATACACTATATAAGTTTAGCCCTAAAGATCTGCAGTGGCAACAGCATTATTAAAATTATCTCATGATTTTGAAATCTGCATAATTAGAACCTGCAGGTGAAATGCCAAAAGTGTTAAGTCACTGGAGACAAGTACACTTGAAGCTTTGATATTTTGGTCATTAGAGCAGTCACTAAACAAGTTATTTTGCTCATTATCTGTTACCTCTAAATTAATTTTTAGGAATTTTAAACACTCCTGATGCTCTAAAAACAAATCTCTTATAAGCATTTAAGACAAATATTTGATTTTAATTTTTTTGACATTTCTGTATTCAAGGAAAGATTAAAGAATAGTAGCTAAAAAGTTTTATTATCAAACAAATATTAATAGTTGTCCAAAAGAAAACAATCTATTAAACCAGGCAGATAGCCACTTCCAAGTATTTTATGTGAGAAAAGCACACAGATTGCACTAGGCTTTCAGAATAGATCATTAATAATATCCAATGTCCAGTCAAAAGTCACTAAGTGATGAAAAAAACAGAATATGTGAAACATACTCATGGAAAACAACAACAGTCAAAGGAAAGTCACCCAGAGATGACACACTGCTGCAGTTAGTAAACGAGGACTTCTAAGTGGTCATTATAAATACGTCCAAGCACTTTAAGGAAAGTATATGCATGATGGCTGAACAGATGGGCGTTTTCTTAAAAGTCTAGGAACTACAAAAATCATCAATAGAAATTGTAGAGTTGAACACTGTAACTGGACTAAGATGAGCCAAAAGTCATACCTAGATGGGAAACCCAAAGAAGTAGACTGACAAGAGTCAGAGCACAGTCAGGAAGACTGTCATAATGAGCACTTAGGAACATTTAGATTGTTAAAAATGGAAGTATCTGGCAATAAGACCACAATGCTTCATCATGGCGATGTTACAGACTTGACTTCAAATGCCTGGCTTTCACACTATGAGAATGTGAATGTGGTCTCAAGGTCACCTAGCACCATGGAAACACTCAACAACCTACCAACAAAAAGCCTATCACAAAACATCATGAATACTAAGATGACAAATATGATGATGCAAAAACAGGAAACAACGGAAAGGGAGTAAGAATAGTAAACTTCATTACTATTAGGTGGTGGGATTAAGGTTCTATTCAGTTTTTGGTCACAGTATGATGATGCATTAAAAATTTTAGAAATACTTATTTTTTTAATAAAGATACACAAAAATGCTAGAAAACAGCATCAAGTGTCCCTCCAAATTTTAGGCCCATTTAGATCTTATATAATTAGTTAAGATTAACGCACACTGGACAAGGGTAGGGCCTGAGTCAAATTGTGTCATTTTTAGAAAAAGATGAGGGAGACAGAAACACAAAAGAGACACAAGGAAGAAGGCCATGTGGAGATGAAGACTGGGAGCAGTGAAGACCAAGGACTGCTGCAGAGATTTTTCCCTCAAGCCTTCAGAGGGAACATGACCCTGTTAATTTAGGACTTGATTTCAGACTTTTAGCTTTCAGACTAAGAGAATAAATTTCTCGTTTTTCCCTTTTGTGTCAATTTGTTATAGCAGCTACAGAAAATTAATACAATATTCAAATGACCAGTTAGTTATATTGAATGTAAAATAATTATTTGGGTTTCATATCTTGGTTTTTAGAACAAATTAAAAAACGGAACAGAAAATTTAGATAGATGTATATCAAATTGTTAGATGTACTGGTAAAACTAACTGCAGAACAAGATGTGAATCAATGTTCTGCTGTGCTTGCTAACACTTCAGCTCTAAGTTAGAGGAATTTGTCCAGGGAGTCAGAGTACAGAGAGGCTCCTCTCAGTACCTTCTGTACCTCTTCACCAGGAGCAGATCTCTACATAACAATGCTGAAGATAAGAAAGAGAAAGAAAGAAGCCTGGTCAGGTAGCATGTTATTCCTTTCTCTGATTTGCCCGAGCAGACTATGAAGGAAGAATGTTTTTCCCATACATTTCCCTTCTAAACCATGAGGTAACGCTGGTTTCCAATAGTGCATATGGAGGGGACAAATGCTCTCCCTTAATGACAACACACAGTAAACCTTCTGATGGAAACGTGGAGAGTCATGTTCAAACCAAAGAGCACAGAACAGTGCCAAGAGCACTCAATACACACTTTTGGAGTGAACAAAACCAAGTAAATAAAACAACAACTAACTACACTGTCCTTAGCCACAAGTTATATAATTCAAAGATGTATAAATTAACATGCTTTTATAATTTAAGGTAAGCCTATCATATAGATTCAAAAGGGAAAAAATATTTTAACATTTTACTTTCTCTGAAACTGGATGCCTCTTATAATCACTAGTGTATTACAGCATAATTGGAAGTGTTTTCTTCTTTCTTAGTGGTATGCAAAATAATGTTACATCATATAATTGATGGAGTTTTAGATTCAGTGGAACACAGTATATTAAAAAGAAACTTAAATTATACACTTACTAACTGCAAAAGAAAACATATGGGACACACATACCACTGACATAAATTCATTCCTCTCTTTCTAATAATGAGATGCAAAGCCTAATACAACAACACAATCCAACAATTCAGCAGTAGCACCAACCTTGAGGTCAAGGTGTTCAGCTAATGCTCTTTTCTCAGCTTTCAATTGTCTGCCATTCAGCCGTGCAAGGGAAGGAGGTGCAGAATCTAAGTTTTCACTCAGGGCAGTTTCTTTATCTTCACCTAGTCTTTCTTTCTCCTCTGTGAGGCCATTCTTTTTTAACATGCTTCTTGGCCGAGGCAAAGGTTTAAAGTGGTCATCTGTTTCAAGGCTGCTGCTATTTTCTTCTGACAGAAAAAAAATGTTTTACAAAAAAAAAAAAATGACAATGGCTTCAGTACTCCCCCTCAAATGCCACCATAACTCCAGTGCCCACTGTAAAGTCCAGATAAGTCCCACAATCTTTCTCCATAAGCTCCAGTGAGACAGAAATAAGTGACAATCAGATTTTACCTAATGTACTCAAAACATTTTTACAAAACATAAAACAAAACATTGCTTCTGTACAATAAAGAGGTTCATCCATCAAACCTTTGCTGAGTAGCTGAAACCAGGCCCTGTACACAACACTGGCCCCAGTCATTCAGTCATTCAGTGACAACGGCCCTGTCCAAGGACCTTATAGATTAGGTAGGGAGAAGATTTTAAACAAATAAAATTACATGACAAAGTAAGTGTTGTTACAAGTAAAAAAGACGATGATGATGGCTCCCATGGGATAAAGTTCTACTACTCACTGGTGAAAGGAATGCACAACTAGGTAAGTGAGTTATCATTGTTCAAGTCCATGAGATTCCCCTAGCAGTTATTAAAACTTCACACTTAGGGCTGAGAGGTAGCGCAGTGGTAGAGTATGTGCTTAGCAGGCAGGAACCCCTAGGTTCGATCCTTGGTATCAAAAAGCAAACAACAATGTAAAAATACTTAAAACTTCAGTTATATTTCCAGTTTTTCTAAGTTTAAAACAAGAATCTAATATCAGTATGCGTCTAGCTCTCAAAATATTGATAAAGGAGTTTTTCATTTATGCAGTTTTTGTCTAAATTTTACCTGTAACAGATAACCAGTTTCCTACTCTTGTTCCAATGTATTCCTCTAAAACTTCACAACCAGACTGATTAGTACCTACTTCCTTTTTACCTAAAAGTAGCACATGAAAGCTGTTAGATGATTCTATAACCATGTCAAATAGTTCCGCTGTACATGTCCCCTTGCCAATTTCAGCTATTCCTAATCTCTGGCCAAACATTCAGCCCCAAGTCTACAAGTTGCCGTAGATTCTCCCTTCTATTCTTCCCTATAACCAAAGCATCACTATGTTGATCCTTACTACAGATCTCTCATTTATTCCACTCTGTTCATTCCCACTGTTAGTTCCTATCTGCTCTTTCCTAGTCACTGTCTTAGTTATTTACACCTATGAAATGAAAGCCACATCCTATCACGCCTCTCTACCAAATTCTACAAGGGCTCCCTATCACCCAGTCCAATACAAGGCTCAACAGCCTGTAACAATATCAAAAGTCTTCATGGTCCTGTCACTGACTACCTGTGTTACCTATCTCCTGATACCCATTTTGTACCCTGTGTTCCTGAGAGGCTGGGCTAAGGGTTGTTTGGCAGACAGGCCACAGCCCCTGATACCACACCTTTACTTAAGCCAGTCCCTCTGTCTAGAATACTCGCTTCTCTTTTTTTTTTCCTGGTAAATGTGTATGTTTCAAGCCTCAGCATAAGGAGAATATTGGCCAATTCCTGAAAGAAGGTGCTGAGTCCATTTTTTGTTATTGTGCTAAGAACCCTTGTCATAAGACTTATCTTCTTAAAACAGTTAAGTAACAATTTATTATGAACATAGGCATGATGTGGTACAGAGGATCTCTAGAACTTATTCTATCTTGCCTAATGTAAACTTTATTCTTCATTATTAGCAATTCTCCACTCCCTGCTCTCCCTCCTCCCAGCCCAACAACCACCCCAACCAAGTTCTACTCTCTATTTCAATGAGTTTGACTACTTTAGATGTATTTCAATCTTGGCTCTGATACTTATTAGCTCTATTATTTAATCTTCACATACCTTGGAGATTTTTCTATTGGTCAAATTAAAAATTCCTACATTGCCTGTGGGACCTGAATAAGATGATATATAAAATGCATAGCACAGTTCCTGATACATGCTAAGTGCTGAATGAATATTAACAGCTGTGGTAAACATTTCTTCTTTTAGTAGTTTGTCAATAACTTCTGCATGATATGTGGTATTCTCCCCTACTCCATCTGTGTCATTCTGGTGGATGAACAAATATCTCTGCCATACCAAGTGAGAAGGGTGGGCTCATGATGAATGCCCTCCACCACCATCACTACTTCCTTATCACAGAAACCTCAATTCTTCTGTCCACAGCAGATGGTTCAGAGGTCAGGTAAGTGTACCACTAGTTCTCCATTTGGAGTTAGAAGATTTGCCTTTACTGTCACAACACTGGAAGGATGTGGACTGGGGACTACTAGTGGCCTTTTTTCCTGCCATGTGAAGAAGGATAGCCTGAGGTGGGGGGGGAAAGGCAAACAACAGAAAAATAAGGACAAGTGATGGAGTATTTGGGCTGTAGAAAAAGAATGAGATAGTCAGGAAGTTGAGGAGGGAAGGCAGAAAACAAAGAATCTAGATGACCTTCTATAAGTACTAAGACCCTAAACTTAATCACACTTAAAGCAAGACCTTTTGACATTGATGATCAATAAGGCTACAGGTTCTCTTTTCCACTGAAGTTTGCTTGAGCTGAGGCGCTTACAACCAAGAGTCCTGACTAGGGTACTATTACTTTTACTGTTACTACTAACATCACCACCTCACTAAGAAGTCATTCTTGGTGTCTTTACATAACTTAGATGCCCACTTTCCTGCATTCTCACTGTACCTTCTGTATACCTACCTACTTAATTGCAAAGTCTTGAATGACTGGTACCAAATCTTTTCAATGTCTATTCCTTTTTATCATTACAGGACTGGTAACATAATATATTCACAATACTTACATGGATAAATAATCTACTTAGGAACAAATGCTAAACAATAAGAGTGCATAATTTATGCCAACACTATTCTAAGCACTATTCTATATAACTTACTTATTTCAAATTCCTAGAGATGGCTCAACTATTATCCTCATTTTACTGATGAATAAAACCAGGAACAAAATGTCTTATGCCCAAGGTCATAAAAGCCATCAAATTATAGGTCTGGGATTAAGTTGGCAGCATCGCAACTCCAAAATTCATAAATTTAGTCATTTTGGCAGTAAAATAAAACCAGCAAAAAATACTTTCTACAATTACTATCCATGTGACATTGCTCCATTAAACAAGAGTCTGATTATTGAATAAGAAAGAATAGAAAAAATCTTCAAGAACTAGTGTGTGTGTGTGTGTGTGTGTGTGTGTGTGTGTGTGTGTTTAATTCTCTAGTACTAGGGATCAAACCGAGGGCCTGATGCAGGTTAGGCAAGTGTTCAACCACTGAGCTACAACCCCAGCTCTAGCTCTTATATTATCATAATATTTCTTGCTACTAATAATATCTCTGATTTTAAACAGTGAATTCCAAACACTGTATAAAAAAGAAGACTAAGAATTTAGAGAAAGATAAGGTTAAGGTCATGAACCACATTCCTTCTTTAATAAATGAATCATTCAGACATTCATTTAAATGGACTAGAGGTGTGGCTCAAGTGGTAGAGTGTCTGCTTCGCAAGTGCAAAGCTATGAGTTCAAACCCTAGTACCACTGGAAAAAATCTTTCTTAGATACTTAATGAATTTTACAGGCCAGGCACTAACTATATAAAGACCACCAGTCTCAATTTGTATTCGTCAAGCTGAAGAATCTGAAAATATGATTTCTGTGTATTTTACGCCAAAATTCTACTTCTGTCAATTTCTCAGAAAGAGAAAATGCTTTGTTTTGTAATCAAGTACGTAAGATTATCTACTTAAGTAATTATGTGTAGTTGCACTTACTGAGTGTAATATTGCAGATACCTAAGTACAGTATTTAGAATCCTGATGCCACCTTGTGGTGAAAATATAGTATTTCCTTATTCATTTTAATTCACCATAGCTTTTTTTTAAAGAAAATGTTAAATAGGTGGATCATTGCTTTGCTAATTATCTACCATAAGTTTGTAGCTCTGCATTTCCACCTGTTCATATTTTCTTAATAGCCAAGTTCAATTATGCTTCCCTTCTCTCCATTTTTGGTTCTACTCACTACACTGGCAAGGTACATGTTAGCAAGTGCATTGTTTCATTTTTCTTCACGCTTGCATTTTTATAACATTTTAGTTTATGAGATACACTTCACTAGATTCTCAGAACAATTGTGTAGGACAGGAAGAACAGGTTTTATTTTCCTCCTCTTTGTGAGGGCAGTGACCCTTAACCTATTTGCTATAGTTACACATAACTAATGCATGGTAGCTTTTTTTTTCTGTATCTTAGGCACTATTCTAGTGATGTTTGCTAAGCTTTTGCCCTTCACCTCATTTCTAAGTTAATGGTATTGTGCGTGCGTGCGTGCGTGCGTGTGTTTGGGGGTGAGGGGACATAGTTCCTCGATACATGCTTAAAATAAAGTTTTGTCTCATTTACCAGTTATATCTAACATGCGAAGTATGAAATCTGTCCCCGAACTGCATTAATCAATGATACAAAGGAAAGGATTTTAATGAAAGTTAACACCAACTAATATTTCCTTTATAAAACAGAAAGACTAGAAGACAAACACCAAAACCTTAACCTTGACTGCCCATGGTTCTGCAGGTTTTCCAAGGGACTTCAGCTCTACTCCACCCCTGCTCCTCAATGTCTGGGGAGAACTCCTGAAATCACAGATCACAGTGGCAACCTCCTCCAAAAAACTGAATCATAGTGAATTTTTCCACGTGAAAGAGACCAAATAGAAGGTTATTTTCTTTCTTTCTTTTTGTTTCTTCTTGTTGTTTTATGTTTTTTGAGATAGGTTCTTGCTATGTAGCCCAACCTGGCCTTGAACTCTCTACATAGGCTGAGTTGCCCTCAAACTCACCATCCTCCTGCCTCAGCTTTCAAGTACTGGGATTACAGGTGTGAAACACCACACCAGGGTGATATTCTATTTTCTTAAGGAAAAAAACAGAACCTTCAATAAACAATAATAATGACAAAAGTCTCTTCCTTCAATTATACCTATGTCTGCAAAATGGAAAAGGTTTTCCTGACTTGTTTTGTTAAATATATATTAGCTATCATATACAGGTATTTTGCAACCAATTATCTTAAAATAAATTTTCAAGAAATGTACTTACAGTAATCTAACGAATTACCTGAAGGTGTGCTTTTGATTGGTAGAATTCTGGGTCTAGGTTTAATTTTAACTCCATGTTTTTCAACTTCTTGATCTTTACTTGGAGACTTGGATAAGGAATTTACAACCATATCATCACAACCATCAGGCATCATTTCTTCATTGTTCTTGATCACAAATTCTGGTTCATCTTCGGCTATGTCACTGTTTGATTTCTTGGTTTTCAAAAAAGACAATCTTGGAGAATTCACCTCATCATCTGATAAATGGAAATCTATCATTTTTTTCCTAACTGAATTTTCATCTATTGAGGTATCAGAAAAATCACCTAAGGAAACTGAAAAATGGAAAAGAAAAATGTTTTCAATAGTACATTTTAAACTTTTTGAAGTTAATAAAAGAAAGAGTACTTTAAAGATTATAAAGGACTAGAAATAAATTTACAACCATGAACAGGTACAAAATTAGTGTCCCAAGGTTTATAGGGATTTTCTGGAATCTTCTCATGTTGAAACAAGGAAGCTGGGGAACCGTTAGTCAAAATATTTCTAACCAGAAGAATTTAACTACATTTTTCCATATAATTTTGGAACAAAAATGCCATATACTCCAAAAGACTGCATCACACTAACAAACTAAAGAATAAGAATAAAGAATATAGAATACTAATTTAAAGCAGTGGATTAACTATAATATAAAATATTGTTAGAGAGAACATTAAGAACTATTCACTGATCTAAACACAAGAACACTTCATTTCAACTTTAGAATTTTAGCTACTTACACCTAAAACCTATTTTACCTAATTAAAAGAAGCCAAATTAAATCAAAATAGCACCAATATATGCAATGTGAAGCACCTGTGTTTTTCAAAACGACCCCTATTACAGCCCCATTTCTGGTGTACAACAAACACTACAGAAGTGCTTCTGATGTGCACCAAAGTTTAGCCTTGTGGGCACTAGTTACTAACTAGTACTAGGGCTCCAGCATTGACCTAACAGATAAACCTGCCCTCTCCAATGTAGCTTACCGCTGATGGCAATTGCTATACTACAAATCTGGTTCAATTAATTTTTATTTTCAATATACATTCAGAAACAACCAAGGACAAGTATAAAACTTCTTCAACATTAAGAGTAGTTTTCTGACTCATTCAGAAGTTGGAAATCTACAACTAGTGAATTCATAGGTATTAGTTCAACATAAAATATGGGAAGAGGAGTAACAAAAATGTAACTAACTAAGTGAAAAGCTGAAAAATGGTTCAGTTTTCTAAACTCTCACATACCAATCTCGTCACTGTCAAAATCATCTGAGTATTCAGAACTCCTCTGTCTGGCCGAGCGAGCTGTAATTGCTCTTATTAGTTCATCCTGAAACAAGAGCATAAAATCAATTTCCATTCAAATATGACACGGTCATTTTTAGAATTCTTTAAACAAATAATAATGAATAGCTGCTGTCAAACTTAAGTTTCATTCATGTAACAAACATTCACTCCAAGTTTACTTTGTATAATGCACCCAAGTCATCAGAGTCAATGAAGAACATACAAACAAGAGCCCTCCCTCAGGAACTGCAGTTAAAATGGAGGAGATGAACAATATCAAATAAATTAATTGCAAGTAATAATTTGAGCTAAAAAGGAACAAACAAGAGAGGGCTCAATATAGATAGAATTTATTAGAAACTGACGTTTTGGAAGAAACTGGTACACCTGTCTATGTGTGTGTGTGTGTGCGCACACTGGAGATTGAACTCAGAGCCTTGGGGATGCTAAGCATACAATCTACCACTGAACTACACCCTAGACCCAAACTGGTACTTTTTAAGCATATCCCAGAAACAGCTATGCTCAATACTGCAAATGTAGATGATGAGTTCAAAACTGTAATAACCTAATAGAAAAATTGTAAATGTTATGTCACAATAGAAAAAAAAGATTTTTACATGAAAAGAGAAAATTAAAGTTGCTCTTTAACTTTTAAGTACCTACTCTTGAGGCTACTTTGGTAAGCACAAGGCCACAGAGGAGGATACCAGAGAGGGAATATGAAGGATGGGCTTCAGCACTTCACAAGGACTAAGTACCACGGTGCTCAGACAGGGTTTATATGGTAAAATCACTCAAAATAAAAATGCTTTGAAATATTTTACCTGGAAAGTAGTTCTTTTGGTAACTTTTGGACTCTTCGTATATGCTAAAGTTGTGCTGAAAACTTCTTCAGACATAATATCCTTCCTGTCTTGACCTTTATAAAATAGCTAATAGAAAATTGGGATGATTCAGTCAACCTCTGATGATGGCTGAAATATACAAAATATAAACTGAACTTTGTTTCAAGCTCGAGAATATTTATTACTAGTTGGTGCCCCCCGCAAAGCCAACCAAATAAGGGAAGCGTCTCATGAACACTGAGCTATACCTTCAGCTAAAAACGTAAGAATTCTTGAAAAAAAAATTTAAAACTCTCACAACAAACCTGCTTTCAAAGAAATAAAAATAAAATGCAAATGGAAATAATTCTAAAAGTGTTGCAGCTATTTGAAGAATGAGTAAACAAGTGTAATAGAGACTAAGTAGTTCGGCGCCAACACCACCATAATGCTTGGCCACGAACCACCAGCGACATTTCTCCAAGCCACTTCTGGCTTTCACAACGTGCCAACAGACAACCAAGAAGGAGGCGTCGCTTCGACGCCGGAGTCCCCGCAGGCCGCCGAGGTGCCACTGCAGGCCGTCCAGGTGCGGCGTCCCGCCGGCCCTTCTAGGTGCCCAGGGCCCCGCACGCGCAGGCCCGCGCCCACCCCCCGCGGCAGCCACCCGGGTCCCCGCCGCCCGCGCTTCCCGTACCCGCCCCGCCAGTCCTACGACGGGTCCCCAGCGACCCAGACGCCCGAGCAATGGCCTCTGGCAGGAACTCGTCTCGCCCGCGGTGCCGCAGCGCTCAGAAACCCGGCGCCAGAGTAGACGAGGGGCGGGGCCAAAGATGGAGGTGGAAGCCGGTTGCTAGGCAACAGCGTCCCGGGAGGAAGTGACTTCCTACTGCCCGGTCTCTTGGGTACCCAACACCGCCCTTCGGCCCAACGCATCGCTGGGGCAACTGCGTTGATCAAGGAAGTGACGTCACCCGTCGAGGTGCAGAGAGAGCAATGCAGTATTGGCCGCCTGCGTGCTCCTGCTGTTGTCTAGGAGACAGGACCCGCCCAGCTCCCGCCAGGGCACTGAGAGTATTGCACATTCATCGTTTTGCTAGTTAGGACATGAAGGTACCTGAATAAGAGTAGATGTCAATGGATGGGGACAGAACAGCGCTGTAAGGACGTTTTCGGACCCCAGAGTCAAACTGCTCTTTTGAATCTGGGCTCCCTTTCCTTCACCCGTGGATGATGTCGTGAAAGTTAACATCTCTGTGCTTCACTTTCTTTTTTTCTGAAAAAAAGGAGACGATAATAATGAGCACCTTAAAGTGCTGCTGTGAGTACTGAATAAAATAATGCAGGTGGAATACTTGGAAGAGGACCTGGAATTGCACCGGACCAGTATTAGACACGCTTTTTGCAACTAAGTCACCCAGGACCTGGTCAAAAGTAGTCCCCTAGGACCTGGTCAAAAGTAGTCCCCTGTGCACGCAGCTGAGGGCCCGTTTCACAGCTTGCTTTCATGTAAAGTTTCTGCTGTGTATACTTAGTGGATAATTTGGTTAAAATCAGGTTAATCAACAATGATCCAATAAATTGAAGAACAGTTTGTTGCTAAAGGAACCAAAGTCATTCTCATTTAATTAGCATACATAATACTTTGATACGAAATCCCTAAAATATGTATTTAGAGGGTTTTTTTTAATAACATGGACTTTAACAGTTTTTTCCTTGAAAAACTTAATCCTGTTTGAATTGTGTAAATTGTACTTTGTATTTTTACATATCTCTACAATATTTTACTTATTCAACATTTATAAAGAAATCACAATTAGATATAGACTTAACAAGCCAGCATATTATAAAATTAAATATACCTAATAAGAAATATGAAATTTAACAAAAAACAATGCTTTAACCATTTTTGCAATGTGCCTTTTAAAAATGTTCAGTTTGTGTTGTTCAACTTGTTCTTGTTTGGGAAACTCAGTTTGGCCAAATCTCTGCATAAGAGAAAGATTTTTCCATTCTCACCAGTTACTCTTAACTTTTCTGTTGTTAGTCAACAAGTATAGTTCTTAACTATAAGAACTATACTTAACTATAAGAACTATACTATAAGAACTATACTTCTTAACTATAAGTAGCATAACTATAGTGAGGACAGGCGTCTACATTTTCCTAATAGATGAAGTAGCAATGTGTTCATGCTGAACTATTGACATTCATGCAAAAATATCTGCTGTGTTCGTTTTTTATCATCCATTTGGCTAATATGTTTTCATGCAGACATGAGTTAAGAAATAAAACTCAAAAATGTCAATGAAAGAGCTCTTGAGAAAAGATTCTCTCTCTCTTTCTCTCTCGGAACCATACTGCCAGCCCAAGCTTCTATTTTTTTTTTTTTCATAGAACACACTAAGTTTTTCTTCTCAACTTAGTAATTAATAGATGGTAATAATGAATAGATTATATAAAACCATAAAACTACAGTAAGAAAAAATACTGAAATGGTTAATTTCTCCACAGGACCCCAGCCCAGTGTCTTTCCACTATTATCTTACTTTAGACTGCACAATCTTAAGTACTATATTAATATTTTCAAGCAGTTTCAGTATATGTTAATGGTAACATTGTATAATGCCTGAATTAATGGTATCATTTTATCTTATGTATAGTTGGCAATAGATATTTAATTATTGAATAGACTACTAATAAATGGTGACTTAAATTTAAAATAATTTTAAAGCATTCCAACAGAAGCTCACAGATACTCACTTTTAAAAATTTTAAAAAGACACTGCAACACATGAAATCTCAGTGCCTTATGTCACATTTTCTTTCTTTCTTTCTTTCTTTTTTGTGGTACTGGGGTTTGAACACAGGGCCTACACCTTGAGCCACTCCACCAGCCCTGTTGCTGTGATGTGTTTTTCCAGATAGGGTCTTGCAAACTATTTGCCTGGGCAGGCTTCAAACCACAATCTTCCTGATGTCTGCCTCCTGAGTAGCTAGGATTACAGGCATGAGCCCAGCACATTTTCTCTAAATTTTTATAAAACAGTATAAAATCCAGAAAAAAGAATTCCATAATCCTTTAAGTTTAATACCTTGTTCATTTCTGAGCCTTGCCTTCTTCTCCCACTCATTAATTTCTTTAGTACACTCATACACATAACGTATTCTGGGTCAGATTGAGAGAGTACAAGGTAAAGAAGAGTAGATCCTTGCCTAGGACTCCTGCATGCTACAGCTGGTCAGAAAATTAAGTAAATCACATTATGACAACATATTCAGATGATTGTCCACTACAAGAACAAAGAAAGAATCCTCCCAGGGGGCATTTGAAAGTTTTCACCAAAGTATGTTTGAGTTGTCTAAGGAGTTTAGGAGCTAAAACAGGCTCAGAAGTACACTTTTAGAAATGGGCTATGAATATGGAGCGTATCTCACAGGGGTTTTCAGAGGTTGAGCATTGGTCCTGCCTTACACCAATGTGCTAGAGAGATGGTGATGGGTCTCAATTTGTACTGCCTATTGGGAAAGGGAAGGGGTGAGACGACACAGTTACAGATCAACTGAGGAGTGACTTTTGCTCAAAAGTTCTTTACTCTCACCTCAGAAGATCAGTTATTTATGGTCCCGTGTCTGGCAGTACATCTTAGAGATTTTATGTAATTAGAAAGAGACATAGGATCTTGTGCCCACAGCCCCCAGTGGAGGAATAAATAAAGCAGCTAACTAGCACTGTAAGAAGTGCACTGCTAAAAGCTGTCTGTTGACAAAGACCATATTATATTAACCATTGAACACCCATGTTAGAAAAGAATGTGGGTAAGAGTCCAGGTACAAGTACACTGACCCTGGCCAGCTTGTGGGATGAGAAAGCCAACCATGATAAACTATCTGGTTAAAAGTGTAGTTTCTTACAAGTGAGGGAAAACAGCATCATTAGTCTGAAAGAAATTTGAGAGGCATCAGAATCAAAATGGAGTTTCTTGTTTCAGCCTAACCTAAAAAATGGTGAAGGGAGAGAAAAGTTAGCTTGGAAGTTATGAAAGGAGGGATTCTGATAGTAACTATGACAAAAGACTGCCAGAACCACAAGCCAACAGAGGCTTGTGCCCAAAACTATGTGTTTAGCCTCAGAATGACACCACACTTGTTATTAATCATTGTGACCATGATTATTGTTTCAAAATATCTGATCATTGTTTCAAAATATCAAAATCCTCTTCGTATTTATCTTTAAAAACTTTTGTTTCAACTTCTCTGAATATTCCCATAGCTTACAAGAGCATGCATATTTCCATTACAGTGTTCTGCTATTCCCCAACAAATATTATACTTTGAAGAATCGCTCTTGATTTTTTAAAATTTATTTTGACAACTCAGATATAAAAGTGTGCCTTTTTGGATGCTATGTGGAAATAGTTGAATTGTTAGACAGAAACATAAGTCCTCATTCTAAATCAGAAGTTGTCATTTTGAACAACTCATCTTCGTTATCAGGGTAAGGTTCTTGGTTAGATGCCTCTATGCACATTATTCTAGACAGGCAGGTCATCGGGGTAGACAATATTTCTACCACATGTGCATTGCTAACTGCACTGGGTGCAGTATTCATAGTATTTAATTTAGTCTTTGTCAAACCTTGTGAAATCTGTAATTTTTACATCCATTTTTTATAAGTGTGAAAATGGAGGTTCAAGAAAGCTTATTTCTCCCAAGATATTTTAGCTGTTTTGATAGAAAAAAAGAAGAGCCGATATTCTTATCACCCATGAAGTACCCCACGAGTCCATGACCTAATCCTCAGAACTTGTGGATGACCTTATAAGTCAAAAAGAGCTTTGTAGGTGTGATTAAATTAATGATCTCAAAATGGAGATCATGCCCTGGGTGATCCAGGAAGGCCAGCATAACTCCAGGGATCCTCAGAAGAGGAGTGCTGGAAGGTAAGCGTCAGAGAAGAGATGTGAGTATAATGAAAGAAGAGGATGCATACGTGTGGAGCCATGACCAGGGAATGGTCAGCCTCTTAGAAGCTGGAAAAGACTTGCAAATGGCTTCTCCCCTGTAGCCTCCAGAAGT